TGATTCCCGGTCAGGGCACATGTCCAGGTTGTGGCCTTGATCCCCAGTAGGGTGCGTGCAGGAGGCAGCCGATCCATGACTCTCATAATTGATGTTTCTCTCTCTCTCCCTCTCCTTTCCTCTCTCTGAAATCAATTTTTAAAAAAATATTTTTTTAAAAAAAGACCTGAACTTCTTGAAAAAAAAGGAAACAGGAGCCCATTGGCTGTGTGGCATCAGTTTGCCACAGAGATCACATCCCTTAGTGCAGGTGGAATGCTAAGGACCACACCTGGCACCCCACCAGCATGCAGCCAGCACCCTGGCCAGCAACCAGCCAGCACTGGCTCTTAGCTGTGCTCTCCTCTTTAAAAAAACCATTCAGATCACATTTTTAAAAATGGGTGTCCTGTCTCCTTCCCCCGCCCGGCCCCTCCCCAGAGCCTGGGTGGCTGTCCCCTTCTAGACTCTCCAGCCTGTATTCTGACTTTCAAAAATCACAGGGAACATGCGTTGTCTTGTGCCACTAGCTTTCACAGTTGCCTCTAAAAAGGGCACAAAACCTGAACAACACACAAAGACCATGTAATTTAAAAGCTGAAACTAAAATCAGTAATGAAATGCCACCTTTCACTTATCAGACTGGCAAGAAAAGAGAAGGCCGATCACACCGCTGCAGAGCAGAGCGAGGAAAGGGGCTCATGGCCGCAGCCGCCGGGGACAGCAGCACTCAGGGCTCAGCCGCCGCCACCTGTGACCCAGCGACTTCCACTCTGAGCAAACACAGAGCATCCGTGGGAGGCTCAGGGCAGCACTGCCTGAGGAGCTAAACACGAGAACCTGGGTGTCCTGGATGCCAGGGGGTTAGAGAGCGGCAGGGGCAGAGAATCAGTAACACTGACAAATCGGGCCCACTCGCCCGGGCGCAGCGACTAGATGGCGGTGGACGCCTGGAATCGAGCTGCCACCACAGTGAACAGAAAAGACGACGCAGGTTTCAATGGAGTGGGGTGAGTGGGCAGAGCAGGGCCACTGAGCAGCTGTGGCCTAGGGGGCAGGGAGGGGACTGAACAGGGAGCAGGGGAGAGGAGGGAAGAGGGGGGACTGACTCACTGTTCACGTGGCCCCCATACTATTTCCACTTATTTCTCAGGCACCAGGAGGACTGGCTCACGACCGGAGGCCACTGGAGCTCCTTTGCCCCAGTGGCTGCCCCACAGCCTGCAGGCTGACAGCACACACTGCGCCCTCCTGGCGCATCTTATCCGCGGATAGCCTTGCTTATGTTGCTTAAGAATATTTCTATAGCCCGGCCGGGTGTGGCTCAGTGGCTGAGTATCGACCTAGGATCCAGGAGATCGAGGTTCGATTCCCAGTCAGGCCACATGCCCCAGTTGCGGGCTCGATCCCCAGTCGAGGGGGTGCCGGAGGCAGCCGATCAATGACAGCTGGGGGTGTGCAGGAGGCAGCCGATCAATGACGACTCATCACTGATGTTGCCATCTCCCTCTCCCTCTCCATTCCTCTCTCTGAAATCAATAAAGATATTTTAGAGAGAAAGAATATTTTTCTAGTTTGATTATCTTAGAGGTTAGAAAAGAATTATCTTGGATATTTGTGATTTTTAAATCACACCTCTGGTTAACCCTCCAGCCATCTGTCAACACTCAGTTCCCATCCTGCACCTTGTAGGTGTGATTTCATGCCCTTCGCCTGCGGGTCTAGGTGAGGGTGGTAATGCAGGGAGCTGGCTGTGGTGACCTCTCTGGGTCCTGAACCACCACACACCCACCTCCCCGGCTCCTGCCTCCACTCACCCGTGGCCAGCTCTGCTAGTACCTGTCTCTGCTCTACAACTTGACAAGCCATTGTTTTAGCTTCAAGAGAAAGTGTCCACATACCAGTTAGAATCACACTAACTGGTTATTTCAATTTGGAGAACACAGCTACCTTTATAACACTTAATATTTCTGTCCAGGAAGGGCCTGTTTTCCAAATCTCACCCTTTTTAAAGTGCTTGGTAGTTTCTCTAATCTCACACTTTGCCTGAGAGTCTGGACCCCTGGGTGCCCCTTCCAGTTATCTCCCTGCACACCCTCCCCTCCTCCAGCACCTACTGTGAGACACAGTGAGGTGTAGGGGCTGGTGCCAGGGAAGGAAGCCAGGGGGTGAGGGATGCCCACAGTGCACAGGAGTCCGCTGGTGCGGCGGGTGGGTGTCTGCAGGTGCGGGCAGGAGGGGGCTGGCTGCACTTGTCCAAGAGGAAGGGAGGTGGGGTCCAAGGCCCACCACCACTGCAGCGGGGAACCACGGGCCCTCCATGGCTGCAGCTGTGCACGAATGTGGGTGAGCGGGCAGGGTGGGGAGATTTCCACCCCAGGAAAGTGGATCCCAGAGGACGGCAGAGGGGCTGCAGTGACCTCAAGGTGCAGGTCCAGGGTGCGGCAGAGCAATCCGGACCCCAGATCCCAAGGGTCAGGTTGGGGCCCTGGCCTGAGTCGGGGTTACAGCAGCACCTGTCCAGGTGGGCAAAGGAGCAGCGTATGTGTGCCTGTGAGGGAAGGTGGACATCGGGGTGGGGCCGGGAGGGTGGGGCAGGGCAGGTCCCACCTCAAAACCCAGAACAAAGTGTCACCTAGTGAAGCATCGCACGGTGGCCAGTCCTGTTATTACATGCAGGTGCCAGAGCCTGTACACTGTCTCGAGGCTGCCTCCACCCCACTCATGGCCACCAGGCTCAGTGCTGCTCATGGCAGGTGGAAGGCCGTCTCCTGGGGCCAGAACCAAGCGCCCGCTGCCTCTGGGGGCCCATCCCGGCACTGACTTCACTGCAAATGAGACCGAGCCTTTGACGGCACAGTTTCGTCCTAACCGTGCTCCTTCAGCACTCAGGTCGTGGGAAGGTCTTAGCGATACTCTCACACCCAGCAGGAAAACCAAGGTGACTCCATCACGTGGCTCAGACACTCGGGAGGAGAGCAGACACTCTGCAGGTAACTTACACTGAACACAAAACATCTCCTGATGGAGCCGCCCTCTGAGGCTCCCGTCAGTGCCGTCCCCTGTGCTGCGGCCCACGCGGGAGGTGCTCTGTGACACTGGTGCCTAACCTGTCCCTCTGTGAGACAAATGATGGTCAGCTACGTGGCAGGATGCAGTGACTGGGACACGATCACGGGCCTGGAACGGGGTGCACTGTGCTGACCCGGACGGACTCCCGAGTTCTCGCCCATCCCACGTCCTCCAACAGCATCCCCTCCTCTGCCTTCCTGGCTATGCCTTGGCCTCACACAGCCCCCACAAAGGGCCCTTCATGACGACCACCAGGAGGGACAATAACGTGATGGGCTGAGCAAAACAGCGACGGCTGTTTCTCCCCAAGGGACGACAGCCTGTCCCAACCACAGCTCCCCGCAGACATGGCGTCCTGTCATGGGGGGCCCACCTGAGTACACAGGTCGCTGTGCGTCAGCCGACGTGTGTGGGAGACCTTGGGTCCGCACCACAGAACGGGGGATGTGCTTAGCCACCGTGTTGGAGGAAGGACACGGAGCACACAGTGACTGAACCGAAGTGCAGAGCCTGAGCTTGCAGGTCACCTGGGCACGGCCACCGCCGTCCTCACCACCACCCGAGACCCACGGCGGTACCCAGATGCACATGCTCACCTACCGGGGGCTGAGTCGTCCTGGGAGGTGAGGCCAGATGGGCTGGATCCCAGTTCCAGTAGCTTCCACGTGTCCTGGAGGGAACTGCTGCCCAGTGACGAGGACCTTTGGGTGTGGTGGCCACTGTCCTGGCGGAGTTCATGAACCTGCGGTGGCTTCGGGGACCGGTTTTCTTTTTGACGAGCTGACATGCAAGTCACAGAGGAGACTCTGTGCTGCTTCTAAAAAGTCAGAAACGACAAACTATCCTCGAGAGCCACCCTCTCTCCAACCCAGGGGAGACAACAGGGCTCCCGTCCCCCTTCCTGTAGGTGACAAGACAGTGGGAATGACCCAAAGACAGGCCTTTGCAGTGAGACCTCAGGGACCAGGAGAGGCCACGGGAGGCAGTGCACTCGGTGGCCATGGGTCCCTCTGAGCACTCACATGGGATGGCCAAGCCAATGCCACCAGGGCAGGGCTGGGGTCCAAGGGACCGCAGCTGTGTGAACAGGCAGGACTGCAGTGGGGCCTGAGGGCCAGTCAGGGGTCCCAGGGTCTGGCCACCACCCAGCACTCTGGCTGGACCATTTCCTCTGCTCTACAGCAGCCAGCACCCCAGGTAAAGTGCCAGCCACCAAGAGGACAGTCACGCAGGGCCACACCCTCTCCTGTGACAGCAAAGGCGGAGTTCCCTTTCCTGAAGGCAGTTCCAGCTGGGATGTGGCGTATACACCCAGTACCACTGGGCCTGCCTACCTGCCCCGGCCTCTTGGTGGCTGCCCCGCAGCCTTGCCGAGCATCCTGTCTGCGGACTGGCGGTGCCACATGGGGCTGGATCTTCCCCGAGCAGGTGGAGAAAGGTTCCTCCTCCGAGTTCTTAGAGTCCTGCCCAGAAATTCACATGGAAGGAATTCAGTGTCCGTGGGTCACCAACAGGGCACTGACTCTGAGTTTCCTGAAAGTATTGAGAGAAACACTCCCCAAATGGCTGCTATGAGGGGCTAACTCTGCTTGGTGACAAGCCAGAAGGGAGGGCATTGTGTCCACTAGCCAGGATGGACGGCGCCCCACTCCTTCCACACTGCTCCTTGGGGGCCCGCCGCTCCCACCTGCCCACAGTGCCCTCAGCCCATCCCGCTGATTGCTGCTCAGCCCTGAACCTCACACTCCCCCTGCTAGAGCAAATCAGAACTCATGGCACAAAGGCCGCCTGCCACCTGGCTCTCTCTAGATTTAATTCACGTAAAATAAACTGAACAGACCACACACTGGGAGTCTGTATCTGCAAGACGTCTTAGCATCAAGACTGCAAAGCTCCATATTAAAACTGAGTACAAAAAAGAAATGTGCACATGGGCACAGCTCCGAGGTGTGTGTCTGATACATCTCGCTGAAGCACCGAAGGTGGGGTTTCTAGTCGCACTGAGACTCTCGTGGAGGGGAGAGAAGTGAGAGCTTCCCACAGGGAACGCGCCACCCGCAGGCGCAGGTAAAGCTACAGACACGTGTATGACATACTCTGTAACTTTCAAAAATGGAAAACAGAATGAAATACTGCTGGGAACTACGTAGCATGCTTATTTGAAGGGCGCTGAAAATCAGAGGTTGTGTTTATTGTATTTTGACTTGATGTTTCTGTATTGAAAATGTAACACAAAAATTTAGAAAAAGTTGTTACAATGACATTTCTTAGGTGAAGAAGAGTCACCTGAGTGAGGTGGTGTTGCAGCTGCCCCAGAGGTGGGCCCCGCTCCAAGGGTGCCGCCGGCCTCGAGTCTGGGTTCTGGGCCCCAGGGCTGGGGAGGGGGTGACGCGGTTTCCCTAGAAACAAGATGAGGGAAAGTGTGGGTTCTGAGTACACATCACTCTTGAGCTTCTTTCCTGCTGATATAAACACATGCTCCTCTTTAAACAGTAACCCCTTCTCTTTCAGAGCAAACTTGGGGCGCACAGTTCTGTGGTGTGCATGCACCAGCAACCCAGGCCCAGCAGGGCCCGGGACACACGACGACGTCCGACTGCCACGTCCCTACCCCGCCCCCCAACGTTCACTGACAGACGTGAAGACACACCCGCCGTTGCAGAGAAAATTGACAAGCGAGCCAAGCATACAGCCGGCTTTCCATCTCCAAGGGTCCCACATCTGCGGCCCACTGAGGACCTGAGCACCCGAGGATTTGGGTACCTGCGAGGGTTCCTGGGACCAGTTCCCCCACCCAGACACTGAGGGACAACTGCGTACAACTGAAGAGGGCGCTGTAATCGATGCTCAGCATTCTACCTTTCTTAGAAACGGTCTAGGCATCCAAGGCCGCTCCATTCATTAGCTCAGTTTGGGTTCAGCTACCTGGGAAGCCTGGATCTTATCTGTAAGCTCACCCGCTGCAGGACATGACTACCACTGAAATACCGTTTCTCAATAGCAAGGTCAGCGAGCCTTCTGTGGGTTATAACCGCTGGCGTGGGCCCTGCTGGAAACTGGGACAGTCTTTGGCACTGAATTCATCCTGTGGAGGAGGAACACACTGCGTGGTACTGACACTGACCCAGGAAGGGGCAGGAAACCCACAAAGACCACACGTCACCGAAGAAAATGTAAGAGAGTTACGAGCCCACTGTTAACAGGCACCGAGTGCAGAGAGTCCTGCTGCTGAGGTCTCCCCGAGCTTCAGGAGGCTGCGCTCGTCAGCAGGGCCCTGGCTTCCCCGACACTGACAGCGGGAGTAGGCGGGGAAGAGGGACTGTGAGAGTAGCCGTGTTGGGGGCCTGGGGGTGGGAACTGCAGAAGGTGGGAAGTACTGGGGCTCTTAGTGGGCAGGTGGGTGGTAGGTGATGGTGAGTGTGGCGTGGGGCTCAGGACACGTCACCCAAACATGCTGCTGAGGCAAGAAGAGAATTTGTACCCGTTTACTCGAACCAAAATGACAGCAATGCCGGGAGCCAGATCTCAGATGCTCCTCGAAGACACGCCCAGGATGGTTCACAGCTTCCTCTAAGCATCTGGCATCAGCAGGGGTGGAAGGAGGGCCACCGGGAGGTGGTAGGAAGCCAGGCCTGGGGGACTGGGTTGGGGAGAGCTAACAGGAGTAGGAGCTCTCGGGTGTGCTAACTGGAGGCAGAACAATGGGCAGGGCCGGCGTCCACTGAGCAGCCTTAGCCCAGGAAGCTGCAGGCCTGGGGCGTGACCTTGCACCGCCCACCCAGCCAGGAACCTGCTCGCACTTTGCACACTTTGGATTAAAGTTACTTAAGAAACAGCGGGTGCAGAAAGGACACTCCAACCACCCTGTCCCTGGGGCAGGAGCTGAGTCTCCTTATCACAGAGATAGGGGCTCGGGCCCAAGGGCTGTGCAAACAAACAGCCAGATTCTTCACTCACTAGGCACCAAGCCTGCAGTCTGTCAGTCCGTCCCTCACGCACTCATGGTTTCTTTGTCTGAAAAGGAGAATCGCCGCCTGCTTTGGTCATTTTCTCAGGTTTCATTTCTGTGAGGCCTCCGTATGTACAAATTAAACTGTGTTTTTTCTCCCATTAACCTGTCTTGTGTCAATTTAATTCTTGTACCAGCCAGAAGAACCTAGAAGGTGGAGGCCTCCCGGCAGGTGGGTGGTCTTCTCAACACTGCTGGGCGCTCCCCTTGCCTTCCTCTCGGCCTCTAACAAAAGCAGGAAATGCTGTCTTCAGGGGCTGGTGGAAGCGAGAGGTGAGTCCTGTTTCTTCCTCTAAATTTAGGTCAAAGGGAGAGTCTCTCTGAGACTTGTGGCCTTGGCTGGCGCTTGGGGAACTTGGTAAGGGAAAGCCCACAGTTTTCACTGATCTTTTCCAGCGATGGCCACTGCTTCCGGTCTCTGTCTGCTGCGTCTCCAGAGCTTGGCCTTGTGAATCTCTTTTCTGGTCTCCACCACCTGGGAGGTGCACTCACCGGGGTGCACCTGGGGGCCAGGTGACCAGACTCAGGTTCGGAGTGTCTCTGCCTGGCTGTGCCGGCTCTCGGGGGAGTGAGTCATGAGGGCCCCCGACAATCCCGTTCCTGTAGAGCCGCCGGGGCCACGAGTTAGCGTCTGGCTGGAGGCGCCTCCTGCTGTGTGGGAGACACCGTGGGTACCCAGCATCCCAGCATCCCGAGTGCCGGGTGACCAGGGCTTTGACTCCTCCGGCTGGCCCTGGGAGTGAGCCTCCTGGAGCCTGTGAGGCTGCGCTTGGTGGCTCTCCCTTTGGGGTCTCCTCTGTGTCCATGGTTGAGCCACGAGAGGCTTGTTAGTTTGAGCCACTGTTGAGATGAATCCCTTAAATTGGAAAAACTTCTAAGTGGAAAAAATTTTAGAGGGTTCCCAACCTAGAATACTGGTATTTCCAGTACCCACCTGGCACCACACAGTTATTACAATATTATCGACTGTACTTTCTATGCTGAACTTCACATCCCGTGACTACTGTGTAGCCACCAGTCCCTACTTCTCGGTTCCTTCCCCTTTCTCACCCAGGCCTCCACCCGCCCTCCCCTCTGGCAGCCACCAGTCTGTTCCCTGTATCTGAGTCAGTTTCTGTTCTGGTTGTTTATATCGTCTTTCTCTGACTTACTTCACTTAGCATAATACCCTCTAGGTCCACCCATGGACACAGACAACAGGGCGGGGTCACCCTGTAGAGGGGGGCAATGGGGGGAAAAGGGGGATATATCTATAATATTCTCAATAATAAAGATTTTTTAAATAGGCAAAGGACCTGAACAGACACTTCTCCAAAGAGGGCATGCAGATGCCAACAGACACGAAAAGATGCTCAATGTCGCTAACCATCAGAGGTGCCGGCTGAAACGACAGGAGGTGGCGCCTCACACCTGTCAGAATGGCTCCATCAGCACATCAACAAACGACTGTGCTGGCGAGAGTGGGGAAAGGGGAGCCTGGCACATGGCTGGTGGGGTGCAGACGGTGCGGCCACTGTGGAAAACAGTGGAATTTCCTCAAAAAATTAAAAATGGAGCTGCCTTTTCACCCTGCAGTTCCACTTCTGGGTATTCAAAGAATCCCAAACACTAATCTGACGTATGTATCTGTATGTTCATTGCAGCGTTATTTACAATAGCCAAGATACGGAAGCAACCCAAGTGCCCATCCATAGACACAAGCAGCCCGGCCAGGCGTGGCTCAGCCGTTGAGCGTCGACCTGGGATCCAGGCGATTGGGGTTCGATTCCCGGTCGGGGCACATGCCCAGGTTGCGGGCCGCAGCCGATCAATGACTCTCTCATCATTGATGTTTCTCTCTCTCTTCCTCTCCTTTCCTCTCACTGAAATCAATAAAGATATATTAAAAAAAAAAAAAAGACACAAGCAGATAAAAATGCTGTGGGAGCCCGGCCGGCATGGCTCAGTGGTTGAGCGTCAACCTAGGATCCAGGCGATCAGGGTTCAATTTGCAGTCAGGGCGCATGCCCGGGTTGCGGGCTCGATCCCCAGCAGGGGGCCTGCAGGAGGCAGTCGATCAGTGACTCTCATCATTGATGTTTCTCTCTCTCCCTTCCTCTCTCTGAAATCAATAAAAATATTTAAAAAAACAACAACAAAAAATGGAGACCTTGGTCCATCCTTCCTTTTGTAAGATTACGAAGTGGCTCATTTCTCTCTAAAGAGGGGGCTGATAGCACTGCATTTAGCTAGTTATTAACAACAGAAAGGAGCAAAGCCCAGACGTTAGCGGCATGTTTGGGCAGCTTCACCAGGAAGCTCACCGTTGCGCTCCCCAGGGAGCCGCCAGCCTTCCCTGCAGAAACGCTGGAGGAAGGGGTCCAACAAAGGGAAGAGAGACGCAGGCCCAACAATGTTGGGGTGACACAGGGAAGGCACCTGCCTGTCAGTCACACCTAGGAACAGAGATCACTGGCCAGAATGGGCGTGGCCACTGCAAGCCTGGGAAAATGTGGGAAGACATAATCCCCTAAATTACGGGGTCCCGTCTTGTGCTCTGGGCTCGCTCTTGGCTTCCTTGCATTCGCCTGTGTTTCCTCCACAGCCCTGTGGCCCTGTGGCCCCCACATGCAACGGACTGATGGGCTGCAGTGGGGAACACAAGCTCAGCTGGCCGATGCTGGACTGGACTGTGCAAATGTGGAACGGAGAGTCTGGACACTGCTCTGATCTTAGCCCCACCGAAGCCACAGCGACACTGCTTCCTTGGCGGGACTGAGGGAAATGAAACCTTGGAAACTCAGGGGTTTGATTCCACAGAAATAAAGCTTTCTACAGTGTCTCCTCCTCCTGTGCGAGCCTCAGAAAATCCTTTTTCTCCGGAATTTGCAAGAATTCCTCCCCCTCAAGCAGCCGGGGGCGGGGGGGGGGATGAGGGCCTCCCCCCAGGGTAACAGGGTGCCGCTGACTGTTTACTGTCTCAGAAGGGTTGGTGAGTAATCTAAGTATGATTATGGAAAACAAATTAAATAGGTGTAAGTAAGATAAGAGTTTGGTGAGCGCTTTCACAATCACTGTTTCATAATATGTCTACTTAAATAGTTTCCGGAGTCTCTTGGGCAACACGCACCCTTAGAGTTTCACTAAGTTAAATTCAATGATGGTCACTCACCGGCTGTCCAGATCATTTCCAAACGAGACGAGATAACCAAGTGTTCACTACTGACCGTGGGGTATCTACGCTTGGCTTCCTCTCTACCCATAAACTGAAGATATCTGGGTCTGTTGGTAACCAGGTTTTAGGCCACGTTGAAGAATTTTTATGAAAAGCCACGTTTCTAGAAACCCCAACAGGTAGGTCTACTGGCCCACGGCAGGCCACTGTGCGCGCACAATGGCCTACTTCCAGTTTTCACCAGAAATTAGGGTTTTCAAGGGTTAAGAACCCTAATTAACATGTGTGATGGAAGCTACAGAAATTAGAAGGGAAACATGTCCATACGCAAGGAAAGGAAAGTATGTTTCCATACAAAAACGTCTGAGGTGTGAAAAAGCATCTGTTGAGGGAAAATAAACGTGTCCTAAAGTAAAATCCGCTACGAGAAATACGGGAAAGAGGAACGGACAGAACAGGGACGTGAAGAGCCGTGGGAGGCATCTGAAGACGGGTCTTTGGAGAGGAGTTTTACGCGCGTTCAGGCTAAGATGGAGATAGATTTATTCCAAAAACGAGTTTTAATTCCAAAAGCACACTGGCGCAGTTAGACCGGCGTCCTCTCTGTTAGAGGGGTGGCGTTTCCCAGCGCCGGGCCGAGGCGCTTCGCCCTGCGTGACCGGTCGGAGGGCTTCGTGCTGGACACAGTGCTGTCGGTGCTTGTCGGGCCCGCGCCGGGCGCTCGCGTCGGAGGCTCTGGGTTTGCAGTGAGGACTCTGACTGTCACGGGGTTAAGTGGGTGACTAATGCTACTGTGTCACATGACGTTGGTCCTGTTTCAACAAGTGTTTCAGGAACCTTTTGACATTTTTGACAAACTTCCCAAATATCACCTTCTAGAGTCTTTCTTACCTGAAAGTAACCGGAATTTTCTAGAGGGCCCTCTCCCCGTAGGAGGAGATGTTAATGAGGCCTACTTGAGATGTCACATGACACGGGAGGAATTATCACGTAGACAGCAACACTAAGGCCTTTTTCCGCTGTGTCTGGAATATAAAAGTGAAACTCCTGGAAGCGGGCATGTCCGGCAACGTCCCCAGTCACAGTTCCAGGTGTTATCTTAAACACTGTGGCACAGAAGCAAACACATTTCCCATCACCTGCATGTGACACAGTGTCCTCAGACCCTGGCCCGTTTCGAGTGCTGTCTGGGCAACATGGGAAGTGTCCTGAGTACAGGCTCCTGATGACTCAGACCAGGCCTGACGGGCAGTTTACAAAGCTCCCTCGGATGGAGACCTCGATGGCTTCCCACAGCTGATGACAGAAGATCAAGGCCAACAAGAAATAATTTCGTGGGACTAAGTGAACTAACGAAGGGGATTATAATTTTTATAATTTTTTAAAAAATACGTCTTTATTGATTTCAGAGAGAGGAATGGAGAAAGAAACATCAACGATGAGAGTCATTGACTGGCTGCCTCCGGCCGCCCCAACTGGGGATCGAGCCCACAACCCGGGCCTGTGCCCGGAGCAGGAACCAAACCACGATCTCCTGGGTCCTAGGTCGACGCTCCACCACTGAGCGGCCGGACAATTTTTATGTCTTTTTTTGTTGGAAACACAGCTGGTTTTTAAGATTGTTTTCCCAGATTCAAGAAAACCTTTTAATCCTTTTTGTCTTAAGCTCCCTACACTGAGGACAACTGGGCAGACTGTGCTTCTGCGTAGAGATGAGACCTTCATCTTCTCCTCCCACCCGAAGGCTCCAGCCTCAGAAACTCGGTGAGCATCCACATTTCCATGGCAACAGAGGCAGTCCCTGGGGTTCCACGTCAATCTGCTCCTGCGACCAGGCTTGGCATGGAGTGCTGTGTCTGAGACACGCGAGGCAAGGCTGCGACCGGGCGCTCTGAGGATTACGTGTGGCTGACTTGTTGGAGCCATGAGCCCCTTGGAAAAATCAGCCAGTACCCTGCGCACAGGGATTCCAGAGCTTTACCAGGTGAGTAAAGAAGGTGAGTTCCTAGCACGTGCCAGAACCTTGAGATATTTTGGGGACCTTGAGAAGAGAGGACCTTACCCCAATCTACAGGCATTGAGGCGAAGTCTGAAGGCAAGTCCTGGCTTGGCTTTCCGGCCCGAGAGAGTCCCCACAAGGGTCCCAGCAAAGCAGGCGTGAGAGCTGCGAGCAGTCACTGCTCCTGCTCTGATGCGAGCAGCCAGCTGAGTTTAGTAAAACAAGCTTTACTTTATGAACAGTTAGTTTTGCTATAATTGTCTTCATCAAAAATGGGGTGATAGAGAGAAAAACCGTTTCAGCAAAAACTGTAACACACACGTGGAGATATCCGAGACCAGCTCTTAACATTACTTGCCTTTGAAGATTTTATTATTTACCCGAAAACTAGATTGACACAATTCTTGTAATTTCCTCAAATCTCTGGTGACAAATCTCCAAGCGAACTTTCCAGTTTCTCCCATCCTCTGGCCTGGAATCCCGACCTGAAGCGGCCCCTTCCCTGAAGCCCTGCGACTACACGACCTGCCGTAAACTCTGGAGACACTGCCCAAATCACTCATGTTTAGACAACCTGGTGCCTGTGGCTACACAGCCACTTAGGAGCTCACCTGGGCAACCAACATCATTAGGGACATTCAACTGCAAAACCTGCTTTGAGCCAAACATCTAAAAACCTTCTCAGCTGGCTACCCTCAGAACTCGAAACCTTGTTTATACTTTGTCCAAGCGCCTCTTATCAATACCCGATTGCTGGCACCAGAGCCCGACTCTGGGAACCCACCTGCATTACCACCTCCTGGGACGAAACAACCGTTTAACTGCACCGACCTCTTTTCACGGCTGAAAGATTAATTCAGTGAAATGATGGCGCAAGCTACCAGCTCAATTTTCAATATTTGACTTCAGGGAAGATTCAGAGAAAAGAGCCGATGGGGCTCCAGACAGCCACCCCAGACAACACGTCACTTTGGATTAAAGTTACTTAAGAAACAGCGGGTGCAGAAAGGACACTCCAACCACCCTGTCCCTGGGGCAGGAGCTGAGTCTCCTTATCACAGAGATAGGGGCTCGGGCCCAAGGGCTGTGCAAACAAACAGCCAGATTCTTCACTCACTAGGCACCAAGCCTGCAGTCTCTGTCACTCCCTCACGCACTCATGGTTTCTTCGTCTGAAAAGGAGAATCGCCGCCTGCTTTGGTCATTTTCTCAGGTCCCATTTCTGTGAGGCCTCCATATGTACAAATTGTGTTTTTTCTCCCGTTAACCTGTCTAGTGTCAATTTAATTCTTAAACTATTCATAAGGACTTAAAAAGGTGGGAAGAAATGACCCCTCCAAACAGGCGGGTGGGTGGGGCCCCGGCCTGAACCTCGGCTGCCTCTGCTGATCAGCAGGATGCAAAATGCGTGGCAGCTTCTCGAACCGGGTGTTTTTCTCACAAATGCGGCCAGTGAGCGGGTTCACTGCCTCCCTCTGGATACAGGCCTGCCCTGCGCAGACTCTGGACCCGCCTCCGTCCACAGGGTGCCTGCCCTCTCTCCCTGCCCTGCGCCTGGCCCTTCCATCCCCTCCCTGGACCGCCCGTGGCCTGCTCACCTGCAGGCCGGCCCAGCTCGGCACGGAGCCGGTTCCCCAGCTCCAGCAGCTGCTCCTTCTCCAGCCGCAGGTGCAGGACCGTCCGGGCCGCCTCCTTCAGCTTCCTCTGGAGCAGCTGCACAGATGGGGCCTGTCCCCCTGGGCCCTCCATTCCTGCGGGTCCCCCGGCTGCCAGGCCCTGTGAATGAAACCCACATAGCAGACAGTCAGCAAGACAAGCCCCCAGGTGGGGGAGGGAGAGGGGGTGCGGTGGCTGCCACCTGTCCCAGACCTGCCACCCCTGGGTGACAGATGCCATTCAAAACGAGAGGCCAGAGAGACAACTGTCACTTGTGTTCACCGAAATCAACAGGCACACAGCCAAGGACACCTCTCACAGGCGGGATCCCGTTCTTGCACCCAGTTTCTCCCCAGCCCCACCCCGGGTGCCTTCCCAGTGAGGACGAGGTGCTGCACCTGTGATGGGCCCATGTGGGCACTGTGGCCACGGCCTGGGTGCCTGCTGCCCACCTGGCATGGCAGGGGCTGGAAGGGACCTGGTGGGTGGCTGCAACGCCCACCTCCCTCTTCGCATCTCCCACCCTGTGCTTTGCCCTAGACTAGTGGCCGCCCCTCTCCTGGCCCCGCTGGGCTCTGTGCTGCCTCCAGGCTCCACGGGTCAGGCACTCTCCAGCTGCCCTGACTCCTGTCTAGCACTGCAGGCCGCCCGCGTTCCCACCACCCTGACCAAGGTGAAGAGAGAAAGCAGAGGCCATGGTGGGGCAGCACTGGGGCTCCTGGGCCAACACTAGAGATCAGAGCCCCTATCCCCACCTGGACCCACCACACGGCTCCTGCACCAATGGGTGCTCACAGGGGAGGCATTTGGGACAGGTGGGGACTATAGAACAAGAGAAAGGGGGGCTCCCTCTAGTCAGGTGGGGGCCCAGGAGAGCCAGGGTGTCCAGGCCCAGGGGAAGCAGGTGGCCTACTTAGCCCGGCTGCTCCTAACACCTATGAAAAGCCCAGTGTGTCTGTCTGGCCACGCGATCTGGCCTGGACACAGGAACTGCACTGCGTCCCTGGAACGGGCCAGCACGCCCCGTCCTGGCCCCTTTTCCTGGTGTCCTTTTCCAGGCCTGGCAGGCACCATGCCCTTGGTGCCTGGGAGCCAGTGACTGCCCACGGCTGCCCTGCTTGTGTTTCAGGCTGGCGTGGCCTGACGGCTGCAAGGCAGAGTCGGAAGTGGCCCCTTGGTCCGAGGCCCCCGACCCTGACCTGTCTCCCAGCGAGCGGGACGTGTGCCCACTCTGGTCTCTCAGGGACGCAGGACAGGAGTGGGGTCCTGGGCCTGCAGAGGGGCCAGAAGAAGCCTGGAGGCCAGAGCGTGGGTTCACACCCTGAGGCCCCCCATTCCACTCACGGGCTGCCCCTGCCCCTGGTGAAAGTGTCACAGCTTCAGGGCATGTCGACGGGGCAGCCAGGCAGGGGTGGGAACTTGGCCAGTGTCTGTCCCCAGGGCCTGGTCAGTCCTCCACAGGACAGCGTTCGACTCGTGTTACTTTACGTGAGGAAAGAACAACTCTGAGCACAGACTTTGCAAACCTCGGAACACTCAAGGATTAAAAGAAAACTCCCCAGATGCCCCCAGCACGAGCATGGCCGCTGTGGCCCAGCCTGTGACCTGAGCAGCCAGCATTCCCATCACGGTGGCTGCAGGTGAGCAGGGGCTGCAGCAAGGACCCCACTGAGCTCGGGGAAGACTATTTTGATGACCCTAAAGTTTCTTCCACAATAATGATTCGATGCTAACAACGACCAGACGCACTCGGGAACTTCCGAACACTTGGTCCTGCGCTGTCCTAGCCAGGCTGGGTGCTGCCCCAGCCTCATGGCTGGGAAGGAAAAGGCCAGGCAGCAAGCAAGAGCCAGCTTGAGATGTCTCGACGACACTGCTGGTCCTAAGGGTGGCGAGTGATGGGCTCTGCGGAGACATCCTGGAGGCCGATGCCTGGGCCAGAGGGAGCCCCCACAAGATGCAGAGACTCAGAGGACTCGGGGGACAGCCTCACAGTGCAGCCCTCACCCGCCGGCCATGCGCTGCAGAGTCAACCACCCTCCTTCATGCAGGTTCCCAGATTCCAGCCTAGTCAGTGGTGTAGGACAGTGGACACTGCCCCCCAGTGGACCGTGTGTCCCTCTGGGTGCTGCCAGGTTTTCAGGATGGGGTGGAGCAGCCCGCAGGGGAGGGTGAGGAGGGCAGAGCCTGTCAGCCAGGCCATTGTCCCTCCCTCCCTCCGTCCCTCGGTCAGTCCACTGGCCTCCCGTTGTGGGCAGGGCCCAGAGACCAGGGAGATGTGCATGTGGTCAGGGCTCCCCTGCACTGAGCCCCTTCTCACTGGGCAGAGGGAGGGGCTCACACTTGCCAGAACTTAAATGTTGAGAAGACAGTGGCATAAGGGGGCATTGGCTGTGTGCTCTGCCACCTGCCCCTGATCCCGAGAGAAGCTGGGACACGGCCCTTTACGCCCAGACACCTCCGTTTTACTTCCTGAGAACAAAGACATTCTCTTCATGACCAGTCTTCAAAACCAGAGCTTCACATGGGGCCGGTCCCGAGCAAGTGCGCCATCCACACCGTCCCTGGGCCGTGTCCCTCGTCCCATGTTCCTCCCCTGCATTCGGGTCCCTTTGCCCCCCCGATGGTGCAGCCCAGACTACAGCGCCCCTGTCCCAGGGGGCTGAGGCTGTTCTTGTCCCCATGTCAGCGGTGGGGCTGGTCCCTGGGTGAGGTGTGTCTGCAGGCCGCTCCCCAACAGTGAGTTTCCCTCTGCACCCAGGCAGTGAGGTGCGGCTACTACATGGCCGCCTTCCCAAGGAGTCTCCGCAGGCACACCTGTCCTCATGTCTCCCTAGCAGAGAGCACCAGGGATGAAATCTCCTCCCTGGCACCGTCCTTGCAGGTCTGTAGCAGGTCCTGGCAACATGTTACTGTGCACCGCCCCCAGTTCCGTTCTTGGAGCCAGCCCAGGGACAAGGCCCTGGGGACACAATGGCTGACGCATGCTGCCCTCCATTTCCACACCGCTCCCTCCAGAGGACGCTCGGTGCCCACAGCACCATTGCACCATCCCCAACACCTTCTGCTGATGAACAGGTCACCCTGTGTCACCGCAGGTAGCACAGGTCCCTGCAGGTCACCACAGGTAACCTCAGATCACTGCAAGAACTGACAGAGGACACATGAGAAAACAGCTTCAGTTGTAAGAAAGGTGGCCTGGATGTCACCCCCAGGGAACAACACGCTGTCACCGAGCTCTCTCTGTGGCTTGGAGCCTGGGAAGCTGGATGGACAGGCCTGACCAGAAGGATGGGAGCCCCACGCCACAGAAGCATGCGCAGGAGTTTTAGACACTGAGAGGCTCAAGGAAGCTACAGGGTCCTCTTGAAGAAGATCCCAAGTCAGCACTCAGTTCCAGGGCTCCCCAGGGCCTCATAGCAATCGCCAGGACTCCTGCTTGGCGCACAGAGACCCAGCCCTCGTCACATGTGAGCGTTTCTTAGGCCTGGCTTCTGAACTGAGGGGTTGTAAAGACCTGAGGAACCAAGGCTGGCACTGCCCCTTCAGCAACCCTCCACCAAGAGGGGAGAAAGGGAGGGAGGTACCAGGGAAGGCAGTTGGGCTCTGAAAACCACCATGGGGGCAGCACCCACAAGGCACCCTCTGCAGCGAGAACTGTAACGGCCAACGGCAGAAGCAGATCACAGGCTGGCGCAGGGCACTCACCTGTCCCCCGAGGGCCACGGTGTCCGGAGCCTGCAGCGGCTGCCTACCCAGAGGCCCCCTGCCTTCTCTTTGCACTGTCCCAAGATGCTTCTCCAGCTCAGACACCTGCCTCCGCAGCTCTCTCACCTCCAGGTGCACCTGGTCCACCTCATGGGGAAGTTCGTGCCGGACGGTGTCCACCTGCAGGGGCTCCTGCAGCACCTGGGGTGTGTGGAGACACTGTTAGGAAGGAAGATGCTACTGAGGGGGCCGGGGGCAGGAGGACAGAGGTGGGGGCAGGAAGCGCAGGAAAGTCAGATAAGAAACATGGTCGTCAGTCTCTCCTCTGGTCCAATGTGATCACCCCACAACCTGCGCCCCTGCCCTGCAGCCCACCCAACCCGGCCAGAGGGGTCCTGTCCCCCACACAGCAAACAGACAGACACAGGCACCTGTGGCAGAGCCTACACACTGGCCCTAGGCCAGGCTGGGAGAGTCTGAGCACAGGCCCTGAAACCCTCTTCCTGGTCAGAGTCCTGGCTGGAAACGGTCTCCAGAGAACACGACTGCCAGGTGGGAGTGCCCAGGCCAGGGAGGGGTTGCCTACAAAAAGGCGGGGGAGGGCTGGGGAGCAGGCACACGCAGAGGTGGACAGAAGGCTGAAGGCTGGGAGGCTGAAGTTGGCTGCGTGGAGCCCCGGGCAGCCCCTCTGCCTCGCCCAACAGTGTCTGGAAGAAAAGGAACGGAAACCAAGACAGATCCCGACTCTCCCGGCCCGACTCTCCCAGCCCGACTCTCTCCACCCTATTCCTGTTTATCCTCAGCAGGATCAAGTGCCCTGATCCTGGGATGAATTCCTGAGAATACCGTATTCTTGGAATTTGTCACACACAGTAAAAAATGTCGTCACTTGATAAAAGGACTGTTGATTTAAAAATAAACACCACTTTGAGGCGGAAATTTTCCAGGATGATCAAGTCACCGTGGTTTCTGAGACAGAACTAACAGCTCATGTGTGGATGTGTATCCCTGGTCGTGCTGTGTGCACGCATGAGCGTGTGCGTGTGTAAGTGCGTGAGATTCCAACAGTGGGCAGCACTGGGACACGGCACCCAGAGGCATTGCAGACGTAACCCCCCGCCCCCCAGGGTGCTCACAGAGCTGGTGTCCCGCGAACAGAAAGAGAGGCGTGGCCGAGCCCAGGTCCCCGCAGCAGAGAAACGCACTTTCAACCAGCTTCCAGGCTGGCTCCAGGGCCCGCCCGCTGCCCACCCAGCAGCACAGCCCAGTCAGAGGCCCACACAGCACGTCAGCGGACGTACCTTCCCTCTGAGCCGGGCCACCAGGAAGTTCAACAGACGTGCCCTGTCTCCCAGCCGCCTGAGCGCCAGCCCCATGGACGTGCCATCAGCTGGCGTGGCTCCTCCTGTAGAAAGAGAGGTTCTGTCAGGCTTGGGCGCCTAAGGCGAGGGGACAGTTTCGGCCGCCTGCCCTCTCCGCATCGTCAGGCTGAGGACGCCCACTGCCACTCCTGGGCCCCTCAACGTGAAGAGTAGACGGGAGGGTCCCCACATGGAGAGAGAAGCGAAAACTGAGGCAGATCTGCTGTGAGGGGCTGTGGGGGAAGCTGCAGACGGAGGGAGCTGGCAGCAAAGGAAGCCTGGACCGTCAGGACCGGCATCAGGGGGTCACGTCGAGGTCTGTGCGACAGGCTACATCTCTGCCAAGCCTTTAAAATAACGTTCGAGCCTGGCTGGGTGCGGCTCAGTGGTTGAGCGTCGACCTAGGACGCAGGCGATCGGGGTTCGATTCCCGCTCAGGGCACGTGCCCGGGCTGCGGGCTCGATCCCGTAGGGGGCGTGCAGGAGGCAGCCAGTCAATGACTCTCATCATTGGTGTTTCTCTCTCTCTCCCCTTTTCTCTCTCTGAAATCAATAAAGATATATTTAAAAATAAATAAAAAATAAAATTACATTTGACAGTTCAGGGCAGAAATGCGGGTCCCACATGTGGGGCTCTCGGTGTGGAAAGAGGTGACATCTGTGACAACAGGGGGAGGAGGGCCCAGCTCCCCCGAAACGTGGACACGACACGACTGAGGTAGCAAGCATATCGTAACCCCCAGAACCACCACTAGAAACGCTGCCTAGAGAAACGCCCTGAAAGACTACAGACAGACGGAAGGGACACTGAGCCACGTCTGAGGGGCCCCACCGGGGAGCAGCCCGAGGAAGCAGGAAACAGACACGGAGCTGGGGGCTCATCCGGCACCAGCCGCCTCGAGGGAGCTCATGCCAACTAAACAGACGCACCAAGGGAGATGCTGCCAACCTCCACTGGCGTCAACCTCCACTGGCTGCCACTGCCCGTGATAAAGCCACTTCCAGCGGGACGGTGGCCGCCGTAGGGAGGCAGGTGCCCGCCAGGCAAGAACGCAGCCAGGATCAACTCTGCCCAACAACTCAAGGCCAGTTCCCCAGGACAGCGTAGCGACTGGATCCCTGTATCTAACCACAAGCTTCAGACACATCAAGCAGAAATCGACAGAACCGTGAGGGAAAATAAAGATCTGTGTTGAAGTACAAACAGAAAGAAACTTTCTCAATCTGACCAAGAAACAAAAAGCAAAAACCCTTCAGCACACATTAAACCAGAAAGTGAAATACTGGGAGCTTTTCTCTGGGGTCGAGACGAGAGCCAGCTCCCGTCAACACCGAGCGGCAACTCCGCAGGGAAATGACAGAGAAAGGAGGGCGAGATTGCAGCTGGGGAAGGCAGGGCCTCCACCGTGAGGCACGGGACTGTGTCTGTGCAGCGGGCGGAGCACCAGAGGGCCAGGGAGGCCACTGCCGTGCAGAGAACTTGAGGGGAGAAGTGTCCATACCAAGGACGTCGGGAGCCCGGTTCCCACGGTCAGAAACAGGAGTCAGAGTAACGGAAAAGGAGAGCCTACGACAAACGCTGCGGCGCTGGACTAACCGCAGCCATCCCTCTCCTGGGCCTGCTGGGCCGTCTGGTGAGGGAATGGACGGAGAAGATCACACCCCACAGAACAGAGAGAGGTGCCGACGCAAACCACAGCAGCGTGTCCTGTGGCCTCCGAGCCAACACGGAGCAGACATGGAGCGTGGCCTCCTCGGGTGCTGAGGGGACCGATGGGTATGTGCGTGTCAACCAGGCGCACGGGTGGAGGGGCCAGACAGGAACGGGAGACACGTGGGCCGCTCTGCACGAGGCGGAGACGGACAGGGAGGCATCGGGAAGGGGCTGCAGGAATGAGGGGCCTGAGCTCCGAGTCTGCAGCTAGCTGACTCATGCAGTTACCACTTCAGTTTAGAACAAGGGCCATGTTACCGGGACTCTCACCGGGGGCTTCCGCTGCGGGGCAGACGCTGGGCTGGACGCTGACATGAGACAAGGGCATCTTTGAAGAATCCAGCACATCTCCCAGCTGCTCTTCCAATGTTTTAAATTTACCCTTTAGGTTTCGTATTTCTGCTTCAAGGGCCAGAACGTAGTCTGCAAAATAAAAACCCACCTGTAAAGATGCATGCACACAGGCCTGGACACTGCCCACTGCCCAGCGTCCCAGGGCAGAGGCTCGACCAGCTGGGGCCTGCTCGCCTCACTGACCCACCCCCACCCCTGCCCGACCTTCATAGTGTCCTGGCCCCTGTGTTCCACTCTCCCCTTGGCCCCCAGAGCCCAGCGTCCAGAGACCAGCTCGCTGGGCTCTTCAGGGAGGGCTCAGCACTCAGGAGGAAATACTCACTCCCGCAACCCCACGAGCTTCCATCACGGGCGCGACCATCGTCTCCCGAGCGTGAGGCCGTCTTGGCAGTCTGCTCTCTCTCCACCCAGTCACCCAGGGGCCCCACTCTGAGCCGGCCGGGCAAGGTGGTCACCTCTGCACGGACGGGCACACCCCGAGGACAGCCGCAGCCCAGCGGCTGGGCGCTGCCCCCGCTCCAGGGGGTGCTCACTGACCCGGCCCCTGCTGCCTGCCTCTGGGTTTTAAGTGTGTGAAGCACCCTTCACTGCCCTCCCCCTCCCAGTAAGAAGCTTCTTCTTAGGGGGGAGCAGCTGCTGGCTCTGAGGTAACCCCTGGCAGGGAGACGCATCTCTCGGGCCCCGGGACGGGTCCTGGTTCCCTCGCTCACCAGGAGCCTCGGTGTCGGCTGCCTGTGTGCCAGGCCGGGGTGAGCTCGCAGCACCTCCTCCAGGCGGGGCAGAGGGAAGGGCCTGCCGGCTCAGAGCCTCCATCTCCGCCCTCATCTGCGTGACTGCCCTACGCAGGTTCGTGTTCTGCTCCTGCAGCCGCTGGATCTCACCAGGCGGGAAACACGTGCTCATTCCTTCCTCCTGACCCCTTGGGAGCGTCTGCCGAGTACAAGGCAGAAAAGACGGCGGCTATGGCCACAGAAGAAACCAGCGACCCTGAGGCCACGCGTCCCCGCGTCCTCCCGCCCTGCCCCCTGTGCCCCTCATTGGTCTCGAATCCTTTATAAATTGACAAAGCATGAAAACCTCCTTTTCTCCAGGTCTCACAAGGCAAGATGCTCTCTCAGCGGAGACTCACTGAGAAACTTGGGGACTCTCCCTTTTCAGTCAGAAAGTCACGAGTCACACGCTAGGTGCCTGTGATGAAAGAGAGGCAGCACCAAGTGCTGGCGAGGACAGGGCCGGTCCCTCGTGCACCGTGACGGGTGAGTGCACACGCTGCTGTGAGAAGGCAGCGGGTCCTCAACGGTTACACAGGTTGTCATCCGAACCGCAGTGTGCCCCCAGGTCTGTGCCCAGGAGAACCACAGACGAGTCCACATAGCAACACACACACGTGTGAGCACACAGAACACAGGATGGGGCTGTGACACACGCAGACGCGGGACGGCAGGAACTTCGTGTGAGCAGCACTCAGCCAGGGCTACAGCATCGACACTGCCACGTGCTCACGGATTGGAATAAACAAGAGCGCGGTCAGAAGAGAAAAGGGAGACATTTAAACTGGACCACCTCGCATCTGCGGAGATGAAAAACACATCTCCTGAAACAAAACACTGACCGGGCAGGACTGAAAGCAGATCAGAGAAGAGACCCATGAACGTAAACAGCAAGGGTTCAAACTCCACAGAGCAGGAGCAAAGCAGGCACAGGATCCATGACGGGGCAGCAGGAGGGTGAGATGCTGGGGGGCCGGGGGCTCACCTGCACCTCCTGCTCGGGGAGGGGCCTGTGGGTCCTCAGGGCCTGCAGGGCCTGGTCCCTCTCCAGGGTCAGGGCCTTCAGCACCACTTCCTGCTCACACAGCCTTCGCTCCGTCTCCTGGAGCTTGGCAGCCGCCTGGAGAGAGTGTGGACTTGGTTCACCCTGGGAGGATCATGAGGGGCAGTGCCAGCCTTCATTTGCTGCCACCTTCCACCCACCTAACAGGCAGACAGAGACGCTCGAGAAGTGCCATGGAGGCCCGTGGTGATCAGCCCTGTCTCCCATCCCCACCACCCTGCTTCCCTGCCCCGCTGCACATGGATGTGGGAACTGCCCCGCCCGGTCAGCTGGAGAAATAGCTAATGAGACACCGAGCGAAGCTGCTGGGCACTCATCACTACGCCGTTGTTGCTGTAAGTCAGGCTGCTTTGTGAGAATCAGTGTTTCCAAATTAAAAGGGCGGCCGGTAAGAGCCAAATTAAAAATGGCTCTCTCATCAAGCCCAGCCACGCGGTGGGCGCCCTGGGAGCGCACCTGCTCCCTGGCTGCGGCCAGGCCCTGAATCAGCTCCTCGGACTTCCGGTAGTGGTCCCGCTCGATGCTGTCACAGCGGCGCTGCCAGTCCAGGCCCAGCTGCACCTTGTCCCGCTCCAGGCCCTGCTCCCTCTCCACTGCCAGAGACAGCTGCCGCTGGTACCTACGGGTGTTAAAACCGCAAACATAATGTCATCCTCAGGTCCCCAAGGGTCTGAAAAGTGACAGTGGGGCCGGGGGGGCGGCCGTGGAGCTGCTGTCGTGTGTGTGTGTGTGTGTGTGTGTGTGTGTCCCACAGCCCAGGGCAGGAACAGGCATCGTTTCTGTCCTTATCAGACAGCCACTGAGGACACACCCTAAAGCCTCAGAACAAACATGCACAGAAGAGGGAACTCACGCAGAGTATGTCCTCTCTCCAGAATAGAGTTGTTAGAAATCAGAAACAAGACGGTATCTGGAAATCCCAAAATAAAGGGGAACACATTTCTACATGACCACAGACTAAGGAAAAATCACAAGGGGTCAGGAGTAAACCAAAGCCTGTGGGATGAGCTAAGCCGTGCTCCACAGAGCTAAGTCCAGCTTCAAGTGCTTGCAGTTCTTCAAGAAGCGGGTGGTCGCCCGGCAGGCCTGGCTCAGCAGATGAGCACAAACTAGGGCCCGTGAGGTCGCAGTTAGACTCCCGGTCAGGGCACATGCCCGGGTTGGGGCTCCATCCCCAGCAGGGGGTGTCAGGAGGCAGCCCATCAATGGCTCTCTCATCATCGATGTTTCTCTCCCTCTCCCTCTCCCTCTCCCTCTCCCCTCCTCTCTCTGAAATCAATAAAGATATTTAAAAACATAACCAAGAAAACCAAAAAGGGATGGTCCACAGCAGCCTACGGTTCCCCGGTGGAGGTCATGAGAAGGTCATCAAAGTGAGGCCAAAGGAAACAGGAGAAACAGAATCACAAGGGTGAGCAAGATACAGATGAACCTGCGGACAGAGAGCTGAGGAAATTCTGCTTCTGTCTGTTTCCTGTTTCCTGCCTTTTTCCCCAACAGGAAGTGACCCAGGGACTCGATGCTGAGGACAGGCCTGGCCCACAGAGGTGCCCACGACAAGGTCCGCCGGGGACAGTCACCTTCTGACGTCCTGCTGGCAGCTGGCCAGCTGTGCCCTGAGCTTCGCCGCTTCCTCCTGCAGGGCCTGGACCTGCAGGTCTTTGGAGGTCATCTCCTTGGAGAGCTGGGCAACCTGTGCATCCCAGCTGGACCTCAGAGTGGAAATCTCTTCCCGGAGCCTAGAAAGGGAGGCAGCTGTATGGGTCGGATCCCTCGTGCAAGGTCTCCCAACAAGCCCCAACACAGATGCACGCACACGCACTCTCACACACACTCACATGCACATGCACACTTGTGGCCACACACACACACACACGCGCGCAGCCCTCCAGGGAGATGCTGATCAGTGTCATTTCCATGCTCGTGTGTCCACCAGGGAGGAGACACCCTCACCTACAGGAGCAGATGGTCCCTCCCACCAACCCAGGTACTGACAGTGGGCCATGAGCCAGGTGGCTCAGTTGGAGCACCATCCCATACACCGGAAGGTGGCAGGTTCGATGTCCCATCAAAGCACATGCCCAGGTTTCGGGTTTGATCCCCAGTCAGGCAAGTACAGGAGGCAACCGGTCAATGTTTCCCACATCAGTGTTTCTGTCTCTCCCCCCTACTCCCTTCCCTCCCTCTATGAAGTTAATAAGAACATAGCCTCAGGTACGGATTAAAAAAGAGACACTGATAGACCCTGAGGCTCGGGCTCTCCTGCTGCTGGTCCCCTGGGGACGGAGCACACAGACCTCGGGGGCAAGGAGGAGGGAGTTCTGTAGACCCTGGAGAAGGGCCCACACCACACAGAGGACCAGCGTGAGCGTGAGTCACTGCGGCCTTTCCGACCACCCTGCCGTCACTTGAATGGGTCAAACAACAAACCAGCATTCGGACCTAAGGGAGTGGCCCTGAGTGAGCCCTACCTTCCTGCTGTGGGACAGTTGTCAAAGCTATTTTCCCCTAAGCAGAGACATAATTTGGCAGCGGGTGCTGAGTAAGAGACAGAAGTCCTTCCCAAACAAAGGGAAAAGCCAGTTGCTAAGCAGGGTAAACACCAGCAACAACTAATTTAATTTTCTCCAGTAAATGCCGCCAGGAGACTCGGTTCAACTCCAGCTCCAATTACAAAGTCTCCCCTGCGCCTTCTCCCTGGACGCCAGGCGCTGTGGGCAGAGGTGGCTGGGATGCCACACAGGAAAAGGCTTGAAAAGACTGGCTAAGGGAGAGATGGGGCCCAAACTAGTGCATCTGCTGCCGGGACAGGCTGCAAGCTCCTCAGAAAGTAGGCACAGGCTTTCCACGTGGCCCAGCAACCCCACTTCCGGGTACAGACGCGAAGTAACTGAAGAGAGACCCAAACAGAGATGCACACTCCCATATTCACAGCGGCAGCATTCACGGAGGCCACAGGGTGGAGAAAGCCAATGTCCATCCACAGATGGGAAAGAAATGGGGCCCCTCCACAGAAAAGCCTCACAGGTGACAGCGTGATGGACCCTGAGGACACAGTGCTCAGAGAAACAGGCCAAACACAGTGGGACACACCCTGTGTGATCCCAGGGATGTGCAGCCCCTAAGGAGATGGGAAGGAGATGGTGGGGCCAGGTCTGAGGCGGAGCCATGGGGTGTTTGATGAGAGGCTCGATTTGGGGGTGAACAGGTTCTGAAGGCAAACTGTGGTGACGGCTGCACAGCAGCGGGACAGTGCTCACCACCACTGACTCACTCAAACGCGGTCCTGATGGCAAGAGCTGTGCGTATTTACCACCATAACACAAATACACACACACACACTCTACACATACAATCCCAAGAAGAGCAGCCATGTGGAGGGACCAGAGGCTGTGGAGTGCCCACCTCCCTGGGCCTGCAGGGGGTGAGTGAGGCCAGCCCCCCACTCACTGGTCGATGGCCGTTTCCTTCTCCTTCACGGTGTCCGCCTGCCTCCACTCAGCCCTGCGGACCTGCAGCTCCAGGGCCTCACACTGGGCCTGCAGCTCCAGGACCCGGGCCTCCAGTGCCTGCAGCTGCTCCCTGTGGGCGTCTTTCACTGAAGCCAGTGCCGTGTCCCTTTCCCTGGCCATGCGGTCGAGCTCCTCGTGTCTGCAAGACAGTGAGGACCCCATAGCTCTGCATCTTCCCTAAACTGAAACTAAGTCTGCTAGTCAGAGGTGTCAGGGGAGCTGAGCACTGAAACGATACAGGAGCATTTAGTCTATAGACATTATTTCTGCAAAAGTGCACCAAGACTCAGGGTTTGTTTCCTCACCTTCTCAGCACACTGGGCTTCACCAGGTCTCTGAGTAGTCAGGTAACAAGTCTCTAAAGCCTTGTATCTAAATTTCTGAAAGCTGTGGAGGAGCTCCTGCATCGGCCAGGCTTGCAGGCAGTCTAGGGGAGGCTGGCAAGTGGCTTGGGGCACATAACTTGGAAGGAGCTCAGCAGGTATGATGCGGCTGGAACCCACCCGCTCCCGCCTGGACGGCCAGCCTCCCAGGCTCTGGGACCCCATGGGGGGGGCCTCGAATCCCAAAGACATGTGATAATTTACTTAATAATTATTGAACTTTATAGCACGTTACACTGTTTAGTAAAGTCTGTACCAATAATTACCATACTATCTTCATTTAGAAACAGAACCTGTGACTCCAGTGGATTCTATTGTTTCTGGTTTACACGCATTTACATGCTGTTAGCACAAGGACCCGGGGAGGCGGAGCAGAGGCAGGAGTCAGGCAGACAAGGGGAGCGTGAGGCGTCCATGGCGAGAGCCCAGGTACTGCAGGGTTAATGCAGGGCAGTGGGCTGTGGCATTTAGGTGGGTGTTAAAGGTTTACAGGGCAATTTTGGCTATTAATGCCAGTATTCGTGAGACACTGGAAATGATATCTATTCTCAACAATTTCACTTTATAATTTAAGAGATTCTAGGTATAGAGCTGAAATGCATCAGAGAAACGGGGTTTCTAACAAGTGTCCCTGGGCTGTGCCGACTCTGGCAGCCAGGAACACTCACTTCCTCCTGAAGGCCGCCTCTTCCCTCTGCCGGGTGAGCTGCACAGACTGCAGGGCATCTTCCAGGTCTTTTATCCTGGAGAAACCAATTGTGAGTGGGAGGCCGGCCCACAGTCGTCAGCCAGGACAGGCAGACCCTCACTGAGGGGCACACGCACCGGACGTCCTTCACAGCGGCAAGGTCCCTGAGCTCCCAGGCACTGTGCTGCAGCCGGCCCTCCAGCTCCACATTGGCGGCCTGTGTGCTCTGCAGAGACTCGGCTGCCTGGGCTCCAGCTTCTCTCAGGGCTGTCAGCTCCTGACTCAGAAGCTTGACCTTGGAGACACGAAGAGGTTTCAAAATGAGGCTGGAACCGGAACACGGGGCAGCAGAGGCAAGGTCACCACTTATCAGGATCAGAGAGAAAGGCCTCGTAGCTCCCAAGGTGGAGGCAGGACCCATAGCCCTCAGAGAGTAAGTGGCACCCCGATGGGGCCTGTGACTCAGCCCGTCGCTCTGACAGTCCCAGGTACCTACTTCACATCCTAGCAAGTGTGATACTGTTTAAATCTGGACTCGCACATGCAGGTGGACGTTGAGAGAATGTACCTCAAGTACTGGCCCCATGCTCAGTTTTAAAATAACCTCTTTGGCCTCAGTCTCCTCGACTGTGACATCTGGGGTCAGAATAGCTGCTGCTCGAATAGCTCCCAGGTGTGAGCTGTGATGCCTGGAGGGCAGCAGGTGCCCTGGGTCTGTCACCCACTCCCACAGCAGATGGGGGGGCAGGGCCTGTACTTGGGAGTGCTCCCCACCCCTGCCACCCCTATCATGCTGTGGAGCACAGGGTGCCCCCACATAACCCTTTTCCTGCCACTCAGAAGTCCCCAGAGTGGCCTAGTGAGGGTCCCTGTGGGCAGCTCCAACCTTGAGGTCTGGACGCCTGGCTGACAGAGGACTAGCTCAGAGAGGCAGGTGGGGGCCCAAGGGGACTGGTGTCTGTGCCAAGAACTGAGACCGGGGTGGGCTCCAGCCACAAAGAACCACCAGGGTCCTTGGGGCTGCCAGCTGGCCAAGTGCCACCTCCTGGACTATGGCACTGTGGGGAGACTGGCAGCCTGGGGGGAGGCCCTTGCTGACCACTAGGGCAGGGTTTCTATCCTCCTAACAGCTGGCTGGAAGCCTGCCCAGGTGTAGCCAGTCAGGGCCAGCTGGGCCCGGCAGGCGCCCTGCCCCTGCTCCCCTGCACAGCCCCTGCCCTCAGGAGAGTCCTTGCCTGTGCTAAGGTCAGGTGTGCATGCCTTTCGCATGTGCTCTGGCGGCGTGATCTCCGTGCAAAGGAAGAGGCACTGTGTGCACCCTGACTCCCAGTTCAGAGGCCACCTCAGCGTGGCCGGTGGCCAGTACCTTGAGCTCGTGCGCCAGGACCGCGCTGCTCATGCTGTCCGCCTGCAGCCGGAACCCGCGCTCCCGCTTCTGCATTTCAGACTCAAACTCCAGCAGCAGCTCCTGCAGGGAGGGCTTGGTGAACAGAGGGCAGGGCGCGCACAGATGGGCAGGGACCCCACACGCACACACAGTGCAGCTGAAAAACCTGCACTTCACTGTTCCTGCCCCTGCGGAACAAACTGAAGTCTCAGGGGTCACGCAAGTAAGCCTCATCCACTAGCCCTGATGGGTTACAAGAGGATAAAGCACCTCATTTACGCTGGAAGCTCTACAGGCTGTGGCCGCCAGGGGGCAGGTGGAGCTGGGCCTGTGACGGCAGGGAAGGAGCAGGATGCTGAGGGCACTGTGCTGCTGAGTCCATGGCCACTCTGTCCCCACCTCCCCCAGGACATGCAACTCTCCAAGAAACGCTCCCCAAGCTCTGGGCAGCACCCTGGGTGGGACACCAAAGCTGGAGAGTTTAATACCGAGGCTCTGTCATTCCAGAGACCCAAGGCCCCCGACACCGGTTAGGGGCGCTGCTTGCCGACACAGGAGCTCATAGCCAAAGGAGCTGAACTGCAGCAGAGGTTCCAAGTGTGGACAGCTTGTCCCCCCAGAGACTGGCAGCTGACCACCACTCTACGGTGATCCCAGGGCCACCCACTGCTGCCCGGGGCCCCTCTGATGCCTTCTTTGGAAGTGACTTAGGTACCACTTAAGGAAACCCCCTCACTGCTAGAAAAGTCACAATTGGTCTTTCTTGCTCAACCAGCTCAGGTCCCTAGGTAGTGCCCCAGGACAAGGGCTACTCCCAAATGTCATACCCACTCACGGTGGACGAGTTTTGGTCCTGAGAATTCCAAAAGAAAGTCCTCAGCAGAAAACTTCAAGCCCTCTAAAAGGTGCTGTGAGCAACGACTTCCAGAGGGGAGAGGAAAGGTGGGGACTCTGAGGTCAGTAGTCACAGCCACGTGGGAAAGGGCAGTCAGGAGATAGTTGTGTCCACAGGCACCTTTCCACCCCAGTTGGCACAGTGCCTCTTGGATGCCATCCTGTCTCAGGGTGCCAACATCGTGCCGAGGGCTGGTGAGCCAGGCAGCCAGGCCCCACTCCACCAGCAGGGCAGCTCTGTTCTGGAGAAGCGCTGGCCCAGTGTCTAGAATGGAGCTGGCACAGGCAGGCACATGGGACACATCTGCCCACGGTGCGGTCATCGGCACCCAGGGCTCACCCAGCATCGCTCTGAGAGGGGCCAAGACAGGACACAGCACAGGCTGACTGTGGATCATGCTCCCTCTCCAACATCACGGACACGTATCTCACAGTAAGATATAGGCACCACCCCGGGCAGGACGCAGTGGCTGAGAGTTCCAGTCCTGGACTCAGGTGACAGCTCTGCCACTTATAAGGGGACCTTGAGAGGTGACCTAATGCCTGGGCCCCACCTGCACAGTGCAGATCCAGGCCATGCCTGATGTGAGAGGCAGGTAGATTCACACGTGCACGAGGAGCTGCTGCTACAGTGAAACAGCTCAGCACATCCTGGAAGGAGACAAGGACCTACCACCTGGCACCTGCACCCATGCAGCTTGAGACATGGACCTGGCAACTGAGTCTGTCAGAGCTTCACAAAACTGAGAAGAAACTGGTGACAGGCTTAAGCATCACCTGTCTGTTGACAAATCTACGCTGAAACTTATAATTACCTATTGTTTTGCAAAAAGACACAGAGTCATCACAACATGAGTGCCTGGCTCTTTTCTACAGCAACCACCTCAAATTTTAACTGAATGGTACTTTCTCCGAAAACAAATGGGGAGGTTTTACTTGTTCTGAGGAGGGAGAACTGCAGTCAGTCACTGCAGAGGAGTCAGGCCCCATCGGACCCCTCTGCAGACCACACGGAGGGGACACCGCCCAGGAACTCAGCTGGGATCCCACAGACACCAGATGGTTAACTGCTCACCCTCCTGCACCTGGGACACCTGGGCAGGGGCCCAACGCCCGCACATCCTACCTGCTTCTGCAGGGCAAGCTCGCCATCGAACTCCTCGAGCTTCCTCTCCAGCTTCCACTTCAGCTCTTCGTACTGTTCCCGCTGGTGATCGATCTCACCATTCTTGACACTGTGGAAAGAAAAGCATTCAGGGCCGGCCGGTGAGGCTCAGTGGATGAGCATCGACCTATGAACCTGGAGATCACCATTCAATTCCCAGTCAGGGCACATGCCCGGGTTGCAGCTCGATCTCCAGTGGGAGGCGTGTAGGAGGCAGCTGATCAATGACTCTCTCTCATCATTGATGTTTCTATCTCTCCGTTCCTCTCCCTTCCTTTCTCTGAAATCAATAAAGACATTTTTTAAAAGTCTATTAATTAAAAAAGGAAGAAAGACATTAATGGCTAAAAATGCCCCAAATTTGGCAAAAATAAATGGGCAAAAGACCTGAGGAGATGCTTTACAAAATAAGGTAAAGCACTGTAAGGCTGCCTTAACCACTCTACACAGGGATGAAAAATAAGATCTGCATTTCCGAAGAGGGCAGCGTGACCACACCTGCCTCTGGCCCTCCGAGTGCTTCACAGTGTCACTTAACAGGATCAGAAATAGCCTGGTGCCAACATCTGTGCTACAGGTGAGCAGTTATCAAGACATTTCCTGCTCTGGGAGGGGCTGGACTTGGTGAAAGGCGACAGCTCTTTTCCGGATCCAGGTGAGGTAGAGGGGTGACCACCTGTTGGCTGGACCCACTGGCCAGCTCTGTGCCTGAGTGAATAGGCCCAACACCCACAGCACAGGGCCAGGCAGCCACTGAAAGGGCTGAGGGCCAATGTGTGAGGGAAGGAGCAGGTGTGTCCTACCTGTGGACCCGTTCCAGCTCCAGGCGGTGCTCCTGTAGCTTCAGCTGGTGCTGCTGCTGCAGGTCCTCCAGCCGCCGGGCCTCACTGGCCAGTGCCTGCCTCAGCTTGGCCGCCTCAATCTTGAGCTCGCTCACCTCGGCCTGCCTGGCCTCCTCCAGCCTCTGGGCCTGGGCGAAGGCAGCGTCGTAGCGCTCCAGCTCCCGGTCCCGCTCCTCCAGCACCTGCAGGTTGTAGACGAAGTCCTCCTGCAGGCGCCGCAGCCTTCCCTGGGCCTCCTCCAGCCGGGCATGCGCATCCTGCAGAGCAGCCTCCTGCAGCTGGGCGCGGTGGGCCTGCAGCGCCCTCCACTCCTCCTCCTTGCGAGCCAGCAGCTCATTCAGGGCCTGCTCCGAGGGTGGCAGCAACATCGTGGCAGCTGCGGTGAGAGAGGTGGGGAGCAGGTTCCATTAGGGACTCTCACTGTCCTTCTACAACGTCTACCTCAGAGCCCCATGGACACTGATCACTGTCACCACAGGAGCAGGAGCAGGAGCAGCTCTGGGCAGCTCCCAGCTGTCTGGCAGCACTGAGTCCTGGAGCACCTGAGGCGGTTCCTCCAGGGCCCCTCAGGTCAGGAACACACCAGGCCCAGACCATGAGGGCCATAAGTGGCACATACGTCACGAGGTACATGCATACGACACATGGCACAAGTGACACTTGTCAAAAGTGAAACACATGGTACATATCATGAGCAACAAGCATGTCATGTGCACCACACATGCCAGACACAATACACGACACCTGTCATAAACAACACATTAGAAATGGCACACATGTTGGAAGTTAGGTGCATATCCAAAGTGACACACGTCGGAAAGTGCCATGCATATTCAAAGCAATATACATGTAGAGAGGAACGCATCCAGTATATGTCAAGTGACACATCAGAAGTAGTGTGTAGGGAGCGACGCATGTTCAAAGCGACACGTGCCTAAAGTGATGTGTGGCACATGCCACAAACAAGGCACATGTCACAAGTGACACACATCAGAATTGACACATGGGGTATTTGTCAGGAGTGACACACATGACAGGAGGGCATGCATGTGGCACATGTAAGATGTAACATATACATGGCATGCATGCCCTAGGTGACATCCATGTGGCGCACATCACAGGTGACCACTTTACATGGGCCATTCAATGAGCTGGCGGAAAGGCGCCAGGATCACTGGGAAAACAGTGGTCAGGCTGGGTCTGGGGCAGGCTGGCCACAAAGCCCAGGGAAAGCAGATGTGGAATAAGGAGGTGACAAGGCAACTTCCAGGGGTGGGTGCCATGGTGACTGGACGACTGGCTGCCCCCCAGCCCAGGTGACGATGGTGGACTGTGTGAGTGAGGAGCTCGTGTGTGCCTGGTGAGTTCTGGGGTCTGGCCACCACAGGCCTGTGCACATGCACAGGGACAGAATCGGGCTTCAGCAACATCTGCGCTACTGTGACCCTGGACAAGTACCCTGGGAGACCACACCAAGGCCTGCGAGGCCACGGACTCCCTCTTCTAAGACCACTCCTCCATACTCTACCCTGTGTCGGTCATCGGCATCAGCCACACGACCACCCTTGGGAGTTACCCTTCTAATGTGGAAATCCGATCATGTGATCTGTGCCTCGAGCTCCTGGCCATTTTCAAGATAAAGTTCAACCTGTTTGGCACAGTAAACAAAGACCCAGGATGGGGCCGGGCCCATGTTGCCACCACACCGTCCTCCGCATTTCCAGCTGCTTCCGGGAGAAACTGGCTTCTACAGCACACACCAGACCCCAGTGCACTCAGGGCCCAAAGGTAAACTGATCTGTGAAGGGACTGCACCGAGCACTGCGCGCCCCTCCCCCATTCCAGCACAGCCTGCCCTGCTCTGTACAAATCCCACCGAGGATGATCCCCAAGCCCAGGACGAGGCTGATCGGCTTTAAACATCAGACTCACAGTCTGCACCTAATCTGTCGGCCAGGAGCTGTCCCCAGTAAGCCCCTCATTTCCAGAAGGAACCCACAAATTTTCTGGGAGAACAGCAGAAATCTCCGGACCCACTGTCCCCTCTGCTGTGCCATGGCGCTCAGGGTCCTCAAGGACACCTGCCTGGCACCGGAAGGGCCAGGGCCACACCAGGTCCTCTCAGCGCTTCCATTTCCTCATCTGTAAAATGCTGAGCTTTCTTGCCCTTTTTTATGCTGTAAGTTTACCCATCAGGTATAAAAAGCTCTTGGAAATCCCCAGGTCTTAGGAAATCACCCTGACAGGGGTGGGGAGGGAACCTGCAACCCAGGTACGTGCCCTTGACCGGGAATCGAACCAGAAACCCCTCCGTGCACAGGCCGACACTCTAACCACCGAGCCACTCCGGCCGGGGCAGCCAGGCCTTGATTTCCAAACACCACCTTCTACAGCTAAATGAACCCGCACTCCTGAGAGAAACGATGCCAGGCTCGGTTGTGGGAAGCACAGGATGAGCCCGGAACAGCTTGTGGTGCCAGAAAGAATGGACGCGCTCAGAAAGGCGAGGGACACACTAAGAGGCACAGAAGCCAACCTGAAGGGGCTCCTAATGCCCAAATCTGGACAAACAGAGCAACAAAATAAACGAGAGTAATGGATCACAGCTGCGGAATAAAAAGAAAAGGTCTATACCAACATAAATGATGGAATACATGGAGAGAAGGGAAGGTTCTTTTTTTTTTTCCTTTTTTTTAATAATTTTTATTTTTGTTTAAAGTATTACAGATGTCCCTTTTTCTCCCCAATGACCCATTCCCCCCACGGAAGGTTCTTTCTTACAGGAGAAATCCCACTGACAAATGTAGAAGGGTTAACGGAAATGGAAAAAATCACCACCGGGCAAAGTGACAAACTGTTCCAGGGAACTGTCACCTGTAGAAGTTAAAACTGGTGGCGGGCAGCATGGTTACAAGCAAGACACTTAGTCTCAAGGCATCTCCCACGAGATACTTATTATTTCCAAAGGGGACAACGGGGACACTGGCGGGCAGCCCGGGAGACACCACCTGAGCCCTGTGACTGTTCCTAACGGGACAAAGGGACCCCACGCTAATGACATCCTGCCCGGACGCGCCGAGAGCGGTTTCGCTGCGGAGGTTTCCTTACCGGAGCGCGTAACTGGACATGATTAATCGCGAGGAAACACTAGACAAGCCCCAACCGGGGAGCGTTCTGCAGAAGAGCCGGCTCCCGAGCGGAACCAGGACCGAGGGTTGTCGCAGGTCCTGACGGCGGGGGCGGCGGACCT